CAGGCACATCCACAGGCATCAAAGTTGGTATATGACCTTAACTAACCAAATAACTTTATACTTGATCAGAGGCCAGATGTAAAGTATATACAACAGTTTTAGGGATTTGCCGGTGAATTTTATTGACTGGCTAGCTTGAATTTGGTTGTGACGATGACAGCTTGCTCTGATGATGTTCATCATATGACGGACGAAAGCTTAGCAAGCTCGAAGGAGATTACCTCGGAAACAGCGTCAGCATGAATGTTCCAGTAAAGCCAATCGACAGCTGGCCAAGATGAATCCGCCGTTGTCTTCTGGTGGAACCGACCTTCGAATCTCTTCACCCAACACTTTCACTCAAAATGGAAACCCAACTTTTCTTCGCATATAAATAAGATACTAGTTTATTTGAGTAAGGAAACAGCTAACACCAAACGCACTTCCGATCCAGGAAATAACTTCACCCATTTGCATGCATGTAGAGTAATATTGGAGTATCCAACCAAATCAAGAGATGCCTCAATGAGATCGCGAAATGTATAAAAAAGGCGACTAGGGTTACAGCCGGCCACATTTTCTCTTGGTTTATTATATATTTTTGCTCTATTTTGTAAAGTATTGCTTCTTGCTCTGATGATTTCTGTCACATTAAAGATGAAAGTTTGCATAGGTTCATCGGGGTCGCAGGACGAAGAGGCGAGGACTTCTTCACATAATTCAACAGTCTTCCCTACTTAACAATCCTTCGGTCTCTGTCAAGACTGCATCACGAATTCCTTCCACCAAACTTTACCTTCGAAATGGAAAGTCATGTCACAACACATTAGACTTGTTGTAAAGATGATTTTTTTGGAAGGTCGTGTCTTTGGACCATTCATTTGGTATGAACAAAAAGATAAAGGAGAAAGCAACTTTACGATGATTGTTAACAAAGCCAATATATGAAATTTTTCCAGACGGCTACTCACAGGGACTCAAAAGTCAAGATACGTGGACAAATGGAGGAATTCTCCGAATCCCAGTTTTTCAATATTTAAGTTAACTGAAATAGATGAGTTGAGAATCAAGCCAGAAGGAAGAAACGGCCTAGGAAAACTATCCAAGAATTAATCTTTAAAAAGGAAGGATGGGGAATCATCGAGCAATTAGACCATTTTGCCTGATTAACAGTGTTGGTTCTTTGTCGAAAATACTGACAGGCAAGCCTTATAATATATTCGTATACATAATTACGACTGAGTATAATCAGGCCTGATGTCTCTTCTCATTCATGAAAAGTAGTGTCCCAGTCAATGAGAACGTAAGTGGCAGATTTTTGAAAGGGGCCTGGCATTTTACATTATACTCCTTTTTATCATCCTCTCGGGTTAGCAACACCTCGTGACTTGGCCACTCTTGGTTGTTGTAGTGCCTTGGCTCAGAGCTGGAAAGACAGTTCAAGCTTCGAGTTAAGCTGTCTGGTAAAGCCGGACTGTCGCCTATAACCTCGTAATTGGTTGATTAGCAAGTCTTCTATGGATACAGATCGGATAGGGACACTAAGTTGAATTTCATTTTACTGAACTCAACCAGACTGCACAAATAGCATCCAGAAAGCATCATTAGGAATGATTTAAGTAATCTTCTTTGACGGCAGTTTTATCAGTTCGGGATCGTGATGCGGCTTCATAGCCTCAAAAAACTCGGCTAAGTAGATTATCTGAGCCTCTCAGCTGGGCGATATTCGGGTAAGTGTCCTGCCATCAGATCTTGTATCCAGATGTATTTTCTCTCTTTCATTTAAAGTGATGAAAGAATAGTAGCTGAATTTTCCCACAATGACGAGAGTGGGCCTCATTTTTCCATTGAATTTTATCCCGCTTGGGGTGCTGATGGAATCTAGACAAGGTCAAAATTGCAGTACAATCCAGCCCGGATGAGAATAACTTTTGGAAGTAAGGCTATGTAAAATTTAATGGAAAAATGAGGCCTACTCACATAATTGTGAGAAAATTCATCGAATCTAGATTATATGATTTAGTGGTACTCTCGAAGCCTACTTATAAACAGAAAATCATATCTATATATAAAGCACAAGTAACCAACTGAATTGAGCCGTCCTCAGAGTTCTCTTAAGAGCCTTTGCTGAGAACACCTTTGGTGTTCAAGTCATATAATCGCCGGCAAGACTGACCAAGACCGACGTCTTGTACATGGAAATATTAATTTGAATCTCTTGTTCCATCCGAGGGCTGACTGTTTAAGACAAATTTATTAATACCGGCTCAGCAGTAGTGATTAGTTTTATATGAAATTTATTCACCCTATTTCGTTTAAAGTGATAAGGGAGTTGGTAATTGAATTTTCCGGCAATTATAAGAATATACCTTACGTTTCCATTGAATTTGACATAGCGTTGCCTTCGCAAAAGGTCTTATCAACACTCCCAGTAGGATTTTTTCTGTCGGTTACGAAGTTGGATCTCCAATCTTGGAAACCTTCCTCTAAAGAGGCTACAAAATTAGCATAAAAAATCCGTTTCTTAAGGAGATGCAGTGTCGACTTGATATGGCCTAACTTATCAAGGATACAGATTTTATCACCGCATCTATCAAGCCGTCAATATGGCTTTGCGTGCCCTGAAAACTATCATGGAGCAAAAGAATGTCATAGGGCTAAACGAGCCATTGGTCGCACAGTATTTGATGAAAAAAATGCTTCACAGATCATTGAAATGAAGGAAGTCGTAATTAAAACTTGACCAAATATCATGTCCTTAAATAATGATGTTGCAAGACAAAAAATTGTTGTTAATTGGTGAAGCGAAAGAAATGGTGTTGGAACATAAACTGCAGTAATGAAGGCTTAATAATTTTGACTTAGGAGTCATTAAGACTTTGGGTCAGTTTCTGAAGGTAATCGATAGAAATTAACAATTAACAGCATAATCCAAGGGGGCATCAAGGTTTCTCGGGTCAAAGGCCTTATTTATTTTGCCATGGAGAGTTAGTGATGAGATTGAGAAATTGTTTTTATGAGAGCTCGTTTGCAGACAAAAAATTAGATACATCTAAGATCGCCAAACACAGAAAAAACATTGAGATTCATTAAACTCTGCCAGTTTCCAAACATGTCTACGTCATAGAAATCCCTTCGGTTACAGCTTTTACAGTATCAAATTACTCCCAAGTAGCTCTAACGATTCTAGTGGTAGTTACCATTTTACCTTTGCAAAACCTGTCTATACGACAAACTTGAATCAGGAGGGATCCGTCTTGTCTGGCACACGGACTGTATAGAATAGTTAAGCTTTTGCATAATTCGTTGGGGCCACCAAAGAGAAGCTTTTGACAAGCAAATTATGATACAATTCAAACACAGTATAAGGCCTTATTTTTCGAGACTATTAGTAAGTCATCATGTATATATGACGTGGATGAGAATTCCTTTCGGTATAAATAAGGCTATGTGAAATTCAATGGAAATGTAAGGTCCGCTCTTAGCATTATGGGAAAAATTGAACTACCAATCCCATTGTCATCTTAAACCAAATAAGGTGAATGCACATAATGTATAAGGCCTTATTTCTTAATTGGTAGCTTTAATGCAATCCCTCAGATTGCCAAAACCCCAAGGATAATTGTGATTTCAAAAATTCTTATATTTGGCAACTCAATAGTTAATTACTCATTCTATAGATGAGATTTGTCCTCTCTGCGCGTTTGTGGTATCTTCCTAATAAGCCCCAAGAGTCCTCAGTGTCTCATATCAAGGTTATCGTACTAAATAGTAGTATGTTATGGGACGAGGATATACATGACTGTCAAAGTGGATGCAAATTTAAAGATTGCGGACAAGTTGGGCTGAAGAAGGATAAATATTAATAATAGAGCTAAAAATGCACGAAAAGATAATGACAAGGCTGCTGCTTACATTTATCGGAGGAGGAGTAGATTCGGAGGCCACGGTGGAGAAAGTCGGCTCAAGAAGAAAGCCAAGTGGAGAGGTAGGATGGCGGCCGACGTCGAAGAAGGTGTCCAAGTTGCCCCTGTCGAGATGGCCGATCACAAGACGATCTGAAGTAGACAAAAACACTATATGACAGGACGTGGCATCACCGGAGCCCACCCATTCGGGCAACAACGATGAGGCGGTTTCAGCATTCCCTTCGGGTCTATAAAAAAAGCTAGCAAACTCTCCCTGGTTGACATATACCATGTGATCTGAAGGAGAAGAGAGATGGACCGTAGGCTGTGAAAAAAAAGCGTTGGCGCGTTTCACCATTACTGGATGCTTGTAGATAACATCAATGAGATTGTGGAAGGAA